TTTTATAGAAGGATTTTTGATACTATGTTGATAACATTAATTATTACAACAAAAGTTTCTTGTATAATATTAGCCTGATAAAGTTAAAGGATTTATAATAATTCAAGAAATTCAATTGTCATAAACTTCATATTAATCAGTTATTTGCTTATAAGCAATTTCTTTTGCAACAAGAAATTTTATGAGAAAATGTTCAAAGATTGGATATGAGATCACTTAAGCATCAAATCTTTTACTATATAGAAGCACTTGATTCAATTTGTGAAATAAATGTGATAAGTCTATTGATTCAACCTATTTTTATAGATCTATCAATTTATAAAGTATTACATTATCAATACTGATATAAGATCTATCAATAGAATTGTCAAGTTGATTGAGGCTTAGAGAAATTACATCCTTTGGTTAAACATTTAACCCCTTGCATTCTCATCATTAAAGAAGCATTTCATTGAATGTGAAAAATTACTAAAATCTTGTCAAAATTTGAAGACATTAATGTTAGTATAAATGAAGAGATATATTATCTAATGCATTAATAAAATCAGCATTTATCATTGAATTTAGCCTGCGTTTAACTCCTAGGAAGGAAGTATATGGAAATTATAAACTGATATAAAATGATGACATAATTAGAGATTTAATATTTAAGACGATTCTAAAATGATTAAAAGTATCAATTTTTTTTTAAAAATTAAATGTACACGATACTTATTAGGTGTGACATATAATTGTGACAATTAGCATTTTTTGTCCTAAGAATAATTAGTAAAATGAAGAACAGCTAACCCTTAACTAATCCTAATTCTACCCTAATATCTTAATCTACTAATAATAAATACCAGCAAAATAAATCCGGCTACTATTTTTTCCGTACGACCAGCAAATAACCTCCTACGGATCATCTCGAAGGGGTTATTTTTGATAAGGGCAGTGACATAGTGATATATTACTATATAAGGTAGATATAAGGTAGGTGTAAAAATAAATTTATCACGTGAAATTCGTGCATATTCATACCCCAAAATTTCTGACCCCAAAATATTTTATCGCGGATACATAAGGATTCTACTTTTTATTTCGTTCATTTTTTTTTCTCTTCTGCAACTTCCCAACAAATATATGCACACGCAAAATAAATAAAAACTTCATAAGTCGTTTTTTGATAGTTCTACTATATGACATTAACAAAAAATTGCCTTTTCTCTTACACATCTACCCCTCTACTACCCTTATTCCTTATTTTACTATTTTGTTATATCTTTTAGTCGGTTGTCCGTCCGTCCATGCTTCTTTACGATTTTCGGTTTAGGTTTTAGATGGGGCCCCGCGATTTTTTTGTAGGTTTTCGGTAAGGATATCCTTTTTCTTACACCTCCACCCCTCTGCTACCCTTCTTCCCTATTTTAACTATTTTGTTATATCTTTTAGTCGGTTGTCCGTCCGTCCGCGCTTCTTTTCGATTTTCGGTTTAGGTTTTAGATGGGGCCCCGCGATTTTTTTGTAGGTTTTCGGTAAGGATATCTTTCCTCCCTTTTATTTAGTTTGCGTGTGCATATATTTGTTTAGGAAGGTCAGGTATACAAATAAAAATTACTAGTTTTCCTGTTTTTCTTTTGATATATATAAATTGTATATGTATTTATGTTAATAAAGCGTTATGATAATGTATTGTATTATAATAAAGACGAACAAAACCAGTTCATTTTATTTGAAAAATATTTGAAAAATAAAATTTTTATTTTTTATTTTGTGTTATCAATGTTTTTATAATCTCGCGATCAAAGTAGAAAATACATATGATTTTTTTTTTTGATTATTTTCGTTCTTTGAGCAAGTCTAGACCAAGAAAAATAAATTTGTTTTTTAACCATAAAGGAATCTTCCATTAAAGTACAAATAATTCTTTTGTCTCTGGTAAAGTTTTAATTTAAGGGTGAAGTTAATTAGATTGCAATCTTCAAAAAACCCTCGATTACAATTTCGGATTTTTGTTGAAAGAATAACTATCAACAGAAATTTTTGATAATTTTCAAATAACGAGTAAAAGTTGCAAAGTCGTTCTTCTTTTATAATATTTAAAAGCTAATTTTACCAACATAATTTCTATTTCTTGTTCTTAATCCAATTTTCATGTATGGAACCTCTACAGAACATATTTTTCTTGTACCGGTAACGAACGCATTTAAACGGTAAATACCTCGGTAAAGGTGATGAGTTACATTTATAACGCGAGACATATTATTTTATTGTATTATTCTAATAGGCTTAACAATTTAATTCGCAAATGTATTGATGAATGGGAAATAAAAAAAAAAAATAAAGTTAATCTTTAATCGACAAATCATTATGAAAACAAACTTCCCACGGTTTAACACATTTAAATTTTTTAATCACTCCATCATCCATGTACTTATTTATTATTTCCATATATTCTTCTTTTTTATATGATTCGTCTGATGTAATTATCGAACGACCTCTCCAATTATCTAATAAAGCATCCAAGGTTTCCAATGAAAATTTAACCCCATAAGTATGTGAATACATTTCCCCTAATCTAATTTCTCTTAAATTATCTGGTGTTGATTTTATTAATAGATTTGATAATTCTTCTCCTGTTTCAAGTCTTGCCTCCTCAAGCGATTTTTCATCGTGATAAGAACAAGCGATTTTTAACAGTAACGAATTCAATTTTAGACATGTTTTTAGTAATTTTTCGAGTTCAACGAAATGATTTGTTGATATTGGAAATGCGAGTGATAAATATTCGACCAAAGGACAATATTCATAAACCGTACGGATAAGGAGAAGAGATTCTTGATAATTGTTATCTCCCTTATCATATTCATCGACTAAAATTTTCCTGAGGTGCCCTTCACAGTTTTTAATCACGCAAATGATTGTGCTGATAGGAATATAATTTACATGAAGGGTTCTAAGATTTTGATAACATGAAGTTTGAATTTGATGTTCAAAACGCGGCCAATAAAATTTATATTTTAACATTATCAAGTTATGAAATTTTGAAAAGTTTATCGGTATCGGTGTCATTGTGTTTGCTTCATTATGATCTTCAATGTCCAAAACCAAATAATTCAGGGTATTTGCCTTTTTTTCTAATGTTAAAAACATTTCTTCATATAATCCCTTCACCACGGATCCACGTACATCAACATCAAGGTGCCATAATTCGTCAACGTCTCATAATTCATCAACGTCCCATAATTCATCATTCCATTCAAAATATTTTAAATTCTTCTGTACCTCAGTCAATTTGACAATTCCATCATTGACTTTTATTTCTTTATTGATAATAATGATCCTTTGTATCGATTGACAGATACGTGCTAATTCATAAAAATACGTTGGATTAATGGACATTTCACATGTGATTTCACAAAGCGAATCAAGACATGTCTTTGCTTCTGTTAAATAAAATAGTTGGTGATTAAATGATCTCATATTAAAATACTTTAATTTTGGACATTTTCTCATAAAAAAACTGTAAATTTCTTGTTGTAAATGAAATTGTTTATAAGTTGAGGAAGAACAACCAATAGAAAGTATTTTGTTTATGACATTTATATTAATACTCTTACAGATGCACAGATAATCGAACAAAAGTGATTTATGTGAAATTGGGGGTAAATAGACTCCCTTACTGGTTAGATATAATTTGATATCGTTGGATAAAGAGAAGGTAATAACGTAATATAAAGAACTTTTGGTTTCATAATTGATTTGATCTTCAAAACGCCAGGGATTCTTCCATAAAAACGGAACCACGGTTCTACACCAAAATCTATTAACTAATAGGCACGAAAAGAGGGACTTTGAGTCATCTTGTAATTCTTCATATAACAAGAAAAGAATTTCTCTATTGAGATTGGACATGTTTAAAAAAAGAAATCGTGGTGCTTAAAAAAAAGGAAAAAGGCAAGGTTCCTATTATATATATATAAAATTATTATGTGCGACTATTTTAATTGTGCAGCCAATAGAATTGCTGACATATGTATGGTCATGTATTGTCATGAATGGTCATGTAGAGTATATTATTTTGTCGGCGTCAGAAAATGCTGTGTTTTGTGACACAACTAAGGTTGCGGGAAAAACCCAAAACCAATTTTGGGTTTCTATGGGTTTCGACGGATTGGCCCGGCAACCTTAGACGCAGTCGTCACAAAAATGATTCTTTGGCCAAAAAAATTTTTCTTAAATTCGTGTAACAAGATTTTTTATTTTTTATAAAAAAAAAAAAAGTAAAAATAAAATTAATAAATAAAAATAAAAATAATAATTTTGTAATTTTTTTTTTACAGATCATTATGACAAGGATTGATTAACGTTACGAATCAGAGAGCACACAAATAAATCTCAACAAAATAAAAATTATTCCATTCTAAATTAAGTTCAATTTAAAGTATTAAAGTTACGTTTTATTTCATTATGAATTAAGTTTAGTCTTTTGTGAATTATTATATCACGTGTCTTTCTGTTGATTCAACATAATTGAATAAGATCATCGTTAACAAATGAATCTCCACGTTTTCGTCGATCAATTTAAACCTATAAATGAACTCAGCAGAAAAATTTTTTCAAATTGAATTTCTTCCTTGAAAGGTTGCAAAGCTGCGCATGCTTTGAGGTAATAATTCTTTGAATCTTTTAAATGATTTTTTTCAATGATTTTGATAACAATTTTTCGTTCAACATATCAAGAAATAAGTTCAATTAAAAAAAATCCCCTAATTATACAAGAATTTAAGTTTTAACTTTGATTTAATGGTTGATTTTTTTATCGGATTAACGTTTTTAACTTCCTAGATACAAAGATCCTTTCCATCGCAGGATATTTTAAATAATACTCTTAATCGGTCCCTAATTCGTAGGTAGATTTTAAAATTATGACGAAATATCATTTTGTGTATCGTATGATCTCTCATATAAATGAAATTGATCCCTTTAGCTATATTCATTCAATCTTTTCGTATATTGTCATGTTACGTTCATTAAATCGTATTTATTCCAACAAATTAGTTTTTAAAAAAGCTATTAATTGTAACAATTCTCTTCGGTGGCATTCAACTTGTAATTATGGCGTATGCTTAGATATCGACGGTGTTTTGATCAAGGTGTGTATGTCGATTTTTGCTATTAATAATTTTTTGAAATATCTTGAATAACTTCAATTCATAATATCTGGAGAATTTTAAAGGGTGATACGGTAGTTCCTGAGGCAAGAGCTGCATTAGATTTTCTGGATGGAAATAACATGGCTAAAAAGTGAGTTTGATGATTTTTAAAAAAGAAAATTTGTCAAAACGATTTTCCATTATAATATATTCACATTATTTATCCATCAAAGAAAGATTCCTTTCATTGTATTAACGAATGGTGGTGGTGTCACAGAAAAGAAAAAGGCCAAAGAACTTTCTAAATTGCTTGAATTTGATGTAAGTTAAGTTACATGGTTGTTACAATTTCTAATATGTTATCATATACAAAAGATCTATCCTAATAAATTTTTTTTTTCTAGTTATCGGAAGAGCAAGTTGTATTATCACATTCACCTATGAGATCATTAGTTTCCATATATCAAAATTCTCAAGTGTTGGTATTAGGAGGTGCATCCGACAATTGTAGGAAGGTTGCGGAAAGGTTCGTCTAATATTTCAAGTCATTAGATCGATTTTGTTATAATCTGGTATTAACAAATCATTTTATCTTTCAGTTATGGGTTTAATCAAGTTGTATTGCCAAATGATATTCTAGCGTGGAATCCAAGTATTTGGCCATTTACTAAATTAGGACGAGAAGATTTAAAATTAACAAAGGTGAGTGAATATAGGAAAAAGGAATAGAAAAATTATTATAATGATAAAATTTCACTTTTTTTTTTGCAGAAAGTTGATTTTTCAAGAGAATCAATAGTCGCAATTATGATGTTTCACGATAGCCGTGATTGTAAGTTTGTAAATCTTTTCTCGGAATAATATTTTACAATTGAATGCTTAATGAATTATTCTTTTATTTAGGGGGACGAGATTTACAAATCACTTTAGATGTATTAAGAAGTAGAGATGGATATGTTGGGACATTGAGAAAGGAAAATGAAGTAACTTCACGTGCCGTTCCAATATACTTCTCAAATCCCGATATTGTAAGTGAAAGTTTCTTTATTTATCATTTGGTTGGAAATTTCTAATCTTTGGAAATTTTTGTTTTTTAAAATTTATAGATTTGGGCAAATGATTATCCAGTTCCTAGATATGCTCAAGGATCATTTAGGAAATGTTTGGAGCTTTTGTTTCAGGTAAAGTAATTTGCTTAAAAATGAAGGGATTTTTTTCTCTTATTGACTCTTTTAATTTATATTCAATAAATTATTTAGGACACAACAGGTCATAAGCTTAAATATAAATTATTTGGAAAACCGGAACCCATAACATATATGTATGCAGCAAAGAAGTTGGAAGATTTCGCTGCGGAGTATACAGGAGAGAGAATATCGAACAGGAAAATTTATGGTAAACTTTACTTTTGT